TCTGGACAATAAAAGATATAATACCTGACCTTATAGGAGGTTAATCTTTCACAACAACTAACCGAGGGATTTGCAATCTCTACAGGTGGATAGTCGATATCTTTAGCGTCACTGCTGGGAAATGAGTAACTCGATATGGGCGATAAGGTCTCGACATAGCGGTAAACGAATATAAAACAGCTGTTTCAGCGCGATAAGGGAATTTAGTCCGATATTATATAAAAATGCTAAATATGCCGAAAATTCACAAAACAAAAGGCATTAAAAAAGAAAGCGATGACATAATAAGAGCTATTAAATTTGTGAATTAATTAATGGGAGGGGGAATCAATAATTAAGGGGTGGTGGGGGCGAAAAGGGGTGGAAGTTGAAGGTGAAAAAAAACAAAAATATTTGATGACGAAGAGTTTCTCTCTCTCTCTCAGAGAGCGCAAACTCCAGAATTCAAGAGAGAGAGAGCGATACAAAACTGACGTAATCGTGCGGCGGAGAGAGAAAGAGAGAGAAAAACTCGCAGCAAACAAAAAGTAAATTAATGAAATGAAATCATTCAAGGCAAACAACCCCAAAAACAAAAAAAACCAAGAAAAAGACATCAATGAAAAAACAATTTAAACACTTGAGCGGCAATAACAACACTACTAACCTCCATTGTTGTTGTTGTTTTTTGTGGCCTTTTGTTTGAGCGTTTGGATCACCGTTAGCTGCCCTTTGTTGTTGTTGTTATTGCACTGTTTTTGCTTTTTTGACACGCACTAGAATTTTGCCTTTGATTTTTGGGGCTTTTTTTGGGCGTGACACACCAAAAACCGTTAGGAAACCACTTTTATTGACTGAAAACCCGCGTGTTTTTTGGCTCACTTTTATCTCACGGATCGCACCAACAACTTGCAGCCAGCGCAATTGTTTAATTGTTAGTAGTTAACTGCGATATCTGCGCGAACAAACAACTTTATTTTCATTAAGTGGTGTATTTTTAAAAGTGACCGTTGTGAGTGCCGGAAAAATAACAGTCTATGGGGTGGTGGGTGGCTGGCGTTTCACCGTTATTTCCGTACGGTCACACTGCAAACCGGGCTCAAACAGTGTGACCGCAAATCTGGCTCGAATTTAAAAACAGAAAAAATTATTTTTCTAATTTTTTAACTTTGTAGAAATATTTTGATTAATTAATAACATTATTTAAACTTAAAGCCAAAATTGTTTTGTGGTATCTCGGGGACTTTTATACTTCCTCTTTATTTAAGAGAGAGAAGAGAATGTTGCACGATCTGCAGCTTACAGTTTGAGAGCCACCTCATTTTAAAGACCGCCAACATTTCGCAGCTACTGGAAATTCAAAATGAAGTTTTATAATCATCAATTGGAATAATTAAAACCTCATTTTTAATCAAAAAAAAATTAATTAGTTTTATTGATTGAAAATCGAGTGTTACTTATCATTGTCATTACTACCTTTCTTTAGTTAACCAAATATTAAGAATTTGTTTCTAACAAAAAACAACGGTTCAAATCCCAGTTATAAAAGTTACAGTCCTTTTTACAACAGTGATGCCAAATAATAAAAATATTAATTACGATTCATAAACTTGACTATAAACCTAGGCCACAAAAATACCATTTACCTTCGCCCGAAGTAGACCCATTTTCAGTTAGTCCTAAATAAAATGACAAATTTTCCATACGGGTAATTTTTATGGGCACAACATAAAATTAAAATTAACCAGAATGCATGCCATAAATCAAGCGGCTTGGTCCCAAGAATCCAGATGCGGCCTTTTTCCATTTTCCGCCCTGCATATCATTTTCATTCTCGTTTCATTTTATCAACTTTTCTTGTGTAATTTTTTGAGCGAATTGCGTTAAATTAATTAGGGTGGTGGCAAGAGGGGGCCTGAAGAGGGGTCAGAAGGCGAGGGAAAAACTTTCGCGGTATTTCCATAAACAACAATAACAGAAGATGCTGCATACTTTTCAAGAGGAAATGCCGGGCGGTAGTGGGTTAACTACACTGGGAAAAACATAACAAAATGGGTAATAAAAAACTCTTAGAAAATGTTGTATAATTAATTGTACATTGTACATTAATTAAAAAATTCATTAAATTTTATATATTCTTGAAACCCAAAGCACCATTTTTGTTTTCAATATTTATAACAGAAATATTTTTAAATCTAATCTAATTCAAAAAATCTATTTTATTTAAATGTAAAAACATTTAGCACAAATATAGTGTTTTTAAAAAGTTTTTCATGACGTAAATGAATAGTACTTTTTTGCAGTGCATGGGGGGTCAGGGGGCATGGCAGCTAGGGCAAAACGTGATGCGCAGACAAATAGAAGACGTCATAAAAATGCCATTGTAAGTAGTTGAGCTTTCTGTGTTTTTTTATTTTTGGCTTTTGCTGGCATTGTGACAGGAGGTTTCTGCTGTTAGTTGTTGTTGTTGTTGCTGATATCCTTGCAGGCTGTTATCCTTATTGCTGTTGTTGTTGGTGTGGCAAATCGACAAAAGGCACGCAAAGGAGCCAGAAACTCATTTCACTTGTGTCGAAAAGATAAATGCGAAGCGCTTAAAAAAGCAATTACCGCATAAATTGCGCTACAACGCGGTATGACTACAGGGAAGCCCCCCTCTTAAATTACAACCCCTCCCCCTTTTCGTTTTTGTGCACAGGATGCGGCGCATAAAACTTGCTACAAAAGACAGTCCTTCCTTGGCGGCTTTTTCTCACAAAACAAATGTTGGCAACACGCGAAAAACATGCAAAATGCATTGGGAAGAAGCACAGTGGCGGGGCGGGGAGGGGCGTTCACTGAGGGGGGTCCGGCTTAATTGAAAAATCAATAGTGGTCCCCCTCCACCCCCTCCGCAACACACCCGCTCACTAAACTCGCGTAAATCAAGTTAAAAATCGCAGCAATCAAAGCACCTGAAGCGCAATAAAAACTCATTAAAAGGAGCCCTTAAAGTGCACTGGGAAAAATTTATTGAGGATGAATAGTTAAAATAAACAAATTACTTGCAGTCTAATAACTTGAAATAGATTGAAAATATGGAAAAAATATTATTAAAATGTATATCTCAAGTGAAAATGATAGACAAGTGAAACTTTAAGTAAAATAGAAACATGTTGAATATATTTAGGAATTTAACATTTTATAACAGGATGCATAAAACCATACCTTTTTCGACACTTATGTTATAATTAACGTGTTTATTTGATGAGTAAATTATTAAAATTGGTCCTTCAAGCAATTTAAAAATACGTATTTATTTTTTATAAATTACATTACATTAGTTTTTTTCTCTGTGTACTTTCCGGATCCCGTGACGATTGGGGGCCAGGTGTTTTGTCCGGACTTTGGACTCCGGACTATGGTTACAGCCACGGCCGTACTCCGAAATTGGATTTGAACAAATTACAACACATCGATTTCTCATTAGAGGATGGGAAGTGGAAAAGGAAGCCAGGGGGAAATCTAAGGAAAAAGGGAAAAGCGGCAGGCGGAGATGAAGGGAAGCTGCGACATTTGATGGCGACAGAAATCACTTAAAGGGAAAATTTAATTGACTCGACTGCGGAAGTCAGCTGCCAATTTGTTGGCCATGCCCCACTGGCACAGGAAATTTCGTCGACTTCCTGATTTAAATAATAACAAACTGTGCCGATGTCTGCTCAGCCTGCTTTCCCCGCTTTTCCTCACGCTTTCCCTCGCTTTCACATCCTGTAAGTCTAAAGTCTTGCTTGTCACGCCAACTGACGGCAGGGAAAACCCCCTGTTTTCCCTCTCCCAACGCCCCTGTTTTCCCAAGAACATGATTGGCGTCATCAGCGAAGGATCTGCAAAAAGATATAGGGGGTGTCAACGTTGATTTTGGTCAGCGTTTGCCTGCCGGCTTAGTTGAGTGTCAATATTTGTGCGCCTCCCTTTGAGTGGGCGGTGTGTTTTTTGTGGGGGTTGGGGGGCGTGGCACTACAGGCTATGCCAAATTAAAATGTTTGCCTTATGATGCGGCTGGAAATATAAACATGACAGGGCGGAAGGCGGGGCAACACGACACATTGGGGGAAAATATTTTGACTGGTTTTTGACAGATCGATATGATATAAACGATTAAATGAGAAAACCGGGGAGGAAAGGGGTTTAAGTGGATATATTTAAGAATTTGTATAATCCCAGATGGTAATTAACAACAGAATATAACATTTAAATGATAAAAAGAAAATAATTAATATTAATAACAACATTCCAATAATATTATTCATTTAAAATATTTTATTACAAAACAAAAGAATTCATGTTTTTTTATGAATTTTATTTTATAATATATACTCGTTATTCAGCTAACGGGAGTGCGAGGGAGATGGAAATATGCAAATGCCAAAGCTACTGTATCCACCTAGCGGCCATTTAATTTTTGGCTCATAACTTTTTAATGAATTATATTCCTTCTGTAATATGAGACCCTCAGTTAAAGTAGAAATACAAAAGTTTCTTCACTTTAGACTTCTAAATCTATACCAACAAATTCCTTAAGAAAATTTAAATAGTCTTTCTGAAAGCCACGTTAAAGATGTTTAAAAATAACTAAAACCTTTCTAATTTTTTTCCCCGAATTCCCTCTACATTCCGCTGTGTGAATCATCCCTTTAAGCCAGCAATTTGGCAGTGCAATTTTGATAAGATCACCGTTCAGCGAATTCCAGCGATTCCACAAGGATGTGCCAGGATGTGCAGCGCCTTGGCTATTTGTTTCTTGTTTTTCCTGCCTGTTGACTGGCAAACTCTTTGCATTTGTTGAACAACAATTTCCGGCACGAAGGGTCCGAGAACCGAAACCCAAAGAGCCGAATGGCCAGCCGAACGCGAGGCTCAACTGGTGAGGTTTCGGTTGCAGGACGATTGAGGACGAAGGATAAAGGACGAAGCTGGAGCCACGAACTCTGCTATAAGAAGCCGCATCCATTGAACAATATCCAGAGTCGCGTCAGCAACGTCGAACTGAAAACAACGCGACTTGAGCCGGAAAAGCGCCCGGGAAAAACATATCAAAGAACGAAATATCACGCATACGCGGCGTTGAACCGAAAAGAATTGCAAGTGAAGTGATATATAAAAAAAAAAAACAAAATAGGAAGGAAGGCTCGTTAGTGGAATTTTTTGTTGCCTTTTTGGGCAGTTTACGAGCGGCTCAGCATAAATTGGTAATGTGTATATCCTTTTTTTTTATAGATGGGGGGAAGGATATTTCTCATAAAAGTGCGTGAGCTCAGAGTATTTGTCCATGAATGGAATCCCGGCAGCAGCAGGCAGAAAACTCATGAATGAAGCTGCAAGGGATACTTCTAGTGATTTATGCCGCGAGTTTTTCCAACATGGTTGCTTTAATTATATGACTGCCTGACTGCCGAGGGAAGTTCCAACTTTGATGTGGGCATTTATGGAAGCCAAGCACGCAGAAATGCAAATGGAAAGCCGCAGAAAATTGGACACGTGTGTGTAAGGCCCCAAAAACACCGCAGGACATTTAACACTTCATTGACTTTTGTGGGCTCCCCTTTTGACTCGCTGACTCACTGACTCACCGACTGTCAAAGTTTCATTTGCATTTCGTGTGCGACGCCGACAGTGAAAATTAATGGCCGCAATGCCTCGGCAAGTTTTCCCTTTTTCGCCTTGCCAATTTGTTTGGCTTCGAACTCTTTAATAAGTTTCGCCCGCCAGGCGCCGCAAACTTTTGCCTCAGGCCGGAAATTCTTGCCCCAACTCCTTTGACAACCTTTGACCCTTTTCCACAAGCACACACACATAGAATATATACAGAATATATACCCACACGTGTTGCCATGTTGCCATGGCTGTCTGATCCTTCGGCTTTGACATCTAATTTATGAAGCGCTCGAAAATCCAAAAAGAAAAGGCACACTTTTCCTTTTCCGCTCCAAGCAACAGGCTGCACGCTTTCTTTTATTTTCTCGGGGGAGCCGTCTATTAGGGGGTATCACGTAGTCGTTCGTTTTTATTTACTACTATTATACTGCACTGCTGAGGCTAAGATAATAGTGCTGTTAAACAAGTTTAATAGCGTGTGACCATGAAGCAATAAAACAAGTTTGGCTGATGATTATGTTTCAAAGTGAAATTGAAACTAATTGAAACGGAATTGAAAGAACAAATCTCTAAAGAATTAATATTAAATAATAAAAAAGGATTAACAGTTTAGAGAAAAAGTGAGAGAATTAAATATTTCAAAAAATTAACTTTTAAAATGATATATTTCTAAAACAGTATTTATGAAAATTATTATTTTAAAGTGGGTAAATGTATTTATAATTCGAAAGTTGTATAGTTTTTTAATTTAAAGAAATAGCTTAAAATTGACATTTATATAAATTGGTTTTAATAGTAATCAAAGTATTTATTTTATTTTATAAAGTAGTTAGTATTATTTTGTTTCCAAACTTTATGCCAATTAAATATTTAAATAAACTTTTATTTAAATAAATTTGATTTCAAACATTAAACACTTTTTAATGCAGTTTAAGTAAGTAAATTAAATTTAATAATTTTCCGTTGAAATTCTCTTTTTGTTTTTATTTTGCCTCTAAAGCTTAATTTATTTTGTTAAATTAGTGTTGATTTATTTTGTGCTCAACTAAATATGTGCTCTTTACTTTGTTATTACTTTCATTTTTTTCGCTAGACTGGAGGCTAAAAATAAAGAGCTTAAGGAGAAAACAAATCCCGTTGGCCATTTGCTACCAACTCCCCCATTACTTTCACCTCCCTGCCCCCTTTCTTTATTTCTTTCTTTTTTTATGTTTCATTTTCCCATTGACCTTAAGTTATGTTAAAGAAGAGGGGGCGTGGCAGCTGCGTCACATTCCTCAGTTTGTTAGATTTGCTGCCCCCGCCGAAACTTTTTTAATGAGTTTCATAATCTTTGATGCGCTTCGCTTTGTTTCAAATTCCCGCCCCTTTTTCGAAAGTCGGCCTAATGATGTGCGAGCCATGGAATGTGGCAGGGTCCTTTTGAAAATGGTTTTTCTCCTTATTTTGGGGGCTGGGTGGTGGAGAAAGTGGAGGAGGCAGGACATAGGACATAGGGCACAAAATTCCAGGGGGTCGAGGGCTAAAACTTATTCAGCGAGTGCTACGAATGCGATAAGCGTTTAATTGAAAGCGACCCCAGGATTTTTTGGGGGCGGCAAAAAGGATTTGAATTCGTACTCGGATTCGGATTCCAACTGCGATGTCCGTTCCAGGTCGTCGGTTGCCTGATGATTGCAGTTGGCAGCTCGCATTTTGCATTTTAATCCTCGAATGCAGTTCAAAAACTCATGACCGTAAACCCTTTTTTAAATAAAACTGGAGCCGTTTCTCCTACACTTAGAAAATTGTCCTGCTTATTTGAAGTAGAAGCAAATAGACACAAAAATGTAAGTTATCGGACACAAACATTTTGTTAATATTTAAATTTAATAAAAATTAAAGTTTAAATAAATGTTTTTTAATTTTCAAATAAAATAAATATCATAAATAGATATTTATAAATATTTAAAAAATAATAATAAAATATAAAAAGAACATCAGTGTTATTTCCCACAATAATTTTTACTTTTAGTGATATCGCTCTTGACCTACCGACTAATTAGTTTTGAACTATTACCCGAATCGGCCAATTAAATCATTTGAAAAACCCCAGATTAAATCCATGGCAAGCACTTCAATTATTTCAGGTGTTTGTGGCTATTTTTTGTCGAATTTTACTCGTAAATTCGGTTTGTTTTTTGCGGCCCAACTGGGATGCAATTTGATTTAAATTATTCCCCCACTAATTGAGAGCTCTTCGAGTGGATTCGAGTGGAAGTTGAGAGTGCAGGGGAAAAGGCTTGCCAAAAAGGGGGGAATTTCAAGGGGGTCAAAGAGTCAGGTCGAGTGGCATATGCATTCCGAGCACACATGTTGCTCATGTGGAAAGACCACCCTTCCCTTTTCGCATTTTCCGTTTCCCATTTAAATCTGAGAATCTAATTCCCTTTGTGGCGGCTCAGCTTAAATTTCATTTGTTTAATTTCCTTGCCACGTACGAAGAATTTCGAGCCCTTTCTCTTCTTTTCCAGGCCAACATATTGGGCAACATGCCGAGCCGAAATGTGCAACAAAAGGGGGCGAAAAACATCAGTGGCATCTGGCAACAAGAAATGCAATTGTGCAACACATCCTTGAATCCCTGGCAGAGGCATCTTCCATTCTCTCTCCTTTTTCCAGCCCACGCGGCGTATGCGTAATTTGTGTGTTCTGTTCCCTGTGTGTCGCAAAAGTCGCGGGTGGGAAAATGTCGGGCGAGAACTTTTCGTGTTGCCAGCAGGCAACTCTGGGGAAAAAAAGCGAGGAAGATTGAGACCAGCATGTAATTCACCGGGGAGAAGGACGAGCAGTACAGAAACCAGGCAACGGATTCCCAGTCGCCGTCCAAACATAATCCTTTGTCCACCGCACTCCTTCTTTATCTTTTTCTCAGATTTTTTCCCTGTAACTTTGTTGCCATCTTTTTGATAAATCACTCCAGTGGATACGCTACATTAAATATATATTTCCTGGACTGCCATATATTAATTTTTGTTGCTAAAGAGATTTGTATCGGTACCGTAGAAATATAAAATTAATTTAATGCTAGATACTTTACTTTAATGAGTTATATTTTATTAAATGTACATTTTTGTGCATGAAAAAATTTTAAAGGTTTGAAAACTCGTTAAAAAGTGTCTAGAAGTACGCAACAATATTTAAGCTTATTTTTCATTGCATACTTTTCGACACCTTTTTAAAGTGGTTTCATTGCTAACGAGTAGTAATTTCATAAAAATGTTAAAATTACATAAAATTAACTAAGAGTATCTGTGGTTTTCCAACTCCCACTTGTCACTCATTCATGGATATGTTTCCATCTTGTGGGGTTTCTTTTTCTGTTTCTGGTTCCGTTTTTTTTTCCTCCCAGGCGTGCGTGATGGAGGGATATGAATAATCTGCGCGTTATTTCCATCTGCTTTTCACTCACGACACCCCTCCCCGTTATGCTTTTCATTGCAGCTGGTCCCCATTTGATCCACCTCCGCCTCCGTTGCCCATTTGCCATTTCCCATTTGCACCGACCGTAATGAGGCAATGAGACGCGGGGCAGCCGGAAAAGGAAAAGCAACAGCGGGAAATTCAGCCGAGGAGCCATGACATCTGGAGTCTGCCGGAGTCTGGAGCTTTGGCCTTTGCCCGAGTGAACCGAGGAAAACTAAACCCCCGATCCCAGCGATGCTGCGCGATATCTTTCTGTATTTAGTTCTAATCGTTTTATTTTGCTTCATTTTCATGGCGCAGTTAATCGTCAACGTTTACGCGTTCCAGCGCCAGCCGTCGCCCCACAAAGCGGAGCGCAATGAAATTATATTTGTCTAGAAAGGAGACAAGCGGTCCACCCACAAAAACCACCCAAAAATACAGAGAAAAAAAAACATATATATCAATAACTTCAAAATGGAATTTATACCAAAAAGTTGAACAATTATAGTCACAGAAATTGACAAAGTTTATAAATATCATCTAATAATACTAGACATTAAGGTATATCTAAAATGGGAAAACGGTTTGACATAGAAATCTAAAAAACATAAGCAAATATTTATCTAATAAATTATATTTGTCTAGAAATGAGACTGTATCAGCCAATTTTCAATTTTACGTCAAAATATTACACATATTCATAAGCATTTATAAGTTCAAGTTTAAATTTCTCATAGATTTACACCTCACATACAATACTATCAAACAATAGCCATTTAAATAATCAAAATTATCATAAAAATATCAATAGGTCCAAGAACTCACACCACTCCTTTTCCAGTGCACCCTTGAGGGCCAAAAAAAGGAGGTTGAAAAATGAAGATGCTACAAAAGCAAAGGCTACAAGTCAAGCCGCCGTGGTTTCCATTTAATAAGAAAGGCAACTCAACTAGGTTCAACTCTCAGTTGAGTAAGAAAAGTGGGAAAAAGCTCAGGGGATGAGAGGGGGAAAATGGGATAGGGATGAGAAAAAGGGGGCGCGGCGGAGAGATCAAAGGGGGGATCACCGCAGGAGGAGGAAGATAAACCCTCGAAGAACTGTTAAACTAGGTTGCGCGCTAATTAGTAACGGTAGTCTTGGGAGTGCACAATACGCACCACACACCACTACACACGAAAGCCGCTGAAACACATGAAAACACTGAGCGAAAATATGGAAATTCAATTTCATATTCATTTGTAATATTTATACATGGATTTTATTTTATTTAAAACAATAACTATTTAAAATCCGTAGTAAAGTTGTCTAAAAGTATGCAGTAAATAAGGGAAATCCCTAAGACTTTTTTATAAATTATTTCAAAGCGCTAGTGATTGTTTTTATGGTTTCATGGATTTTTTTTAAATACCTAAGAAACTGATATTGTTATGTTTTTTTTTTCTCTGCATACACAAAGAAACTTTTCCGCAGCGACAGGTCTCCGCGGGAAATGGCAAGGAAAAACCACTGAAAAATCCCCAGCAGCAGAAGCTAAAGAATTCAGTGGAGTTCCGACCACTGAAGAAAGCGGGCAAAAACACAAATTAATTTCATAATTTGTTGCATTTTTTATTGAACACTTTTGCTGCTGCTGCCGACCCGCTTTGTTTGTCTTTCATTACACGCTCTTTTTTATCTGGGATTTTTCCAACAGTATATAAAATTAATTCACATTCTGTTGTTAAAGTAATTGATTGAATGTGACACCGAGAAATTTTCATTTAAAATTTTCATTGCCTACTTTCTGGCGGGCTTTAAATGGGTGGCGTTTTAATTCCCCCGACTTTTGTACTTTCTTTTCTATCGATTTCTGGCCTGTTTTCAGCCTTTTTGGGTTGCTTTTTGTTCAATGGCTGTTTTTCTTTCTATTTCTTTTTTTTTGCGTTTTGTAGCGCTTTCATATTTTTTGGTTGTTTTTCTTTTCGGCACGCCGCAGCGCGTTTTATTGTTTTCTTTTGAGCCTGAGCACTTGAGTCCTCGAGGGGCATACACACACTTGACCCCGTTTGAAAACGACGAGCATTGAAACTTTACAATGGGTCCTGGAAAAGGGGGCGGTGCGCAAAGGGGGCGTGGCCGGGCATTTAACTCTTGCCGGGGCGGTTTAACTTGATTGCTGTCAGTGTGTCCAAATGGAAATTAAAGTTTCATCAAACGCTCAAAGCTCTCTAAGCGGATGTGGGCCAAGTTTGCCCAGAGTTCACTTTTTTCGACGGGTTTCGTTTCGGGCTAAAAATTTAAATTGAAATTTAAACTGGAAAAGTGGTATAAAAGACTCACGCACACACAAAAACACTCACCCATATCGAAGGAGAATCAAAATGTATTAATCGAAAAATATAAAGTTTTACATTTAAACGGAAATCTATTATAGTGGAACATTTTACGAGTACGGTTATATACTCTACTATACATACTTAGATATATGATATATACATTCGAACAATAATAGTCTTAGTCGTCGGTCGATAAGTGCTAAGCAGCCCCAAAAAATTAAATTATACCCTTAAATTGTATCGAACTTGTAGCTAGATCTGAACAATGGAATCGAAGAAATCGAAGCGAGAATCGAAATAAATTAAATAAAGCGAATAAATGTTCTTTGGTGAAAAGGAGAGAAGTGGTGTTTTATTTGGGGGAAAAATAAATTTAAAGCTTAACGTAGAGCTTGAACATAATCGATATTTTCGATATTTTTGTTGAATCGATAATATAGATGTTTTAAAGTGAAAACACAAACCAAATTTCGAAAAAAAGCAAACTGTCCATTTTTTTTTAAACTGTAGTTTAAAGGTACATACAATAAATTTTTCTAAATTTAAAATGTTAATTATTTTCTAGTAATAAACTCAAAATACCAGAAATTCTCCTTAAATATTTGACCAACTGAAATGTATCCTTTGGATAGTAAACCAGGGGAAATCTGCATCTAATTTGCAATGCAGTCATCCCACTGGATCATCTGGGATTCTTTTTCAGCATCCCAAATCGAGGTTAACCCCACTTGGGCCGCCTTGGCTTTGTTGACCCCCCGGGCCTGTTCATTTTCGGCGCATTGAGTGACCAGTCCATTAACGTTCCCATTTTCACTTTGCAGCCCCTTGAGGAAGTGTTAAATGACATTGGGCAATTGGCATGAGGAGGAATGAATACATTATCTCAGCCATTTAGCTGCAAGGAGCGGGAAAGCGGGAAAGACGGCAGAAAACCGCTTGTCATGTCACTGGGTCCTCGGACAAAACTTTTGGCTCTCGTCCAGAATGCAAAAAGAAAAGCCCTCTCTGTTTTCCCATCTGTTTTATTTTCCTTGTATGCAACAAGCTTGGGAAAGGCTCCCTTTCCACCCAAAGAATTTTCCTGGGGCCACTGCATTTTTGCTGCCTTTCCCTTCGCCTACTGCGGGTTTGTTTTTATTGCATGCCAAGATGTCTGAGCTTTCAAAAGACCAACGGACATGATGGGCAACAAAAACAAAGAGCAGAGCCGCTGGGAAAAGAGGGAAAGGGGCAAGGGGGTTGGCAGGCCGAAATGCCACCGAAATGGATTTTTGTTATTGTTATTGTCGCTGGTCTCGTTTGCTGAATTTTATTGCATTACAATGAACTGCGCCTTGACCAAATTTGGTCAACAAATGAAACGAAATGAATGGGAAATTGATGCGAAAAAATGTACAGAGAAGAAAATACATTGGAAAATAAATTTCAGAATTTTTCAATATTTTTCTTATATTTTACTATAATTTATATGAGATGTTTTATATTAAAAGCAAAATATTTCCGATATATTTTCAGGACTTGTTTTTAATTTTATTTTGATATATTTTAGCTGCTAAAATATTAAATGACCCATGTTATTACGAACTATTAAGAAATTAAATTAAACAATTAAACACATTTAATTTACTTTTTAAAAAACCTTTTATGGTCAACAAATATTTCAATAATTAAATAAAAATATTTAATACACATAAAATGTGAAAATGTCAAGTATACAAAATCTGGAAAGCATAAACAAAATATGAGTTGGACTTATCCCATCGAAAATCGCTTAAAGCAGCCGACAGTCAATTTTTCACTTGGCATTGGCCGACAGCTGTCGAAGGTTGGCGAAGCAAACCAGCAGAGTGGGAAAAGCGGGAAAAATCACAGCGACTATATGGGGGAAAATCGGACAACACAACTCACAGTACTTATTTAATATTTATTTAATATTTATTTTGTGTCATTCGCCTGCCCACTTTGATCTGTGCAGCGACAAGTTCTTTGCCAAAGTCAAGTCAGCTGAGGAAAATGATGCGCGGAAATTGAGGGGGCGGGGGTAGACACAGGAAAATGAGTCCTTGTTCCACCCAATTGACAAAAGAAAATCAAAACTAATTAGACGCAAATTAATGAGCCATGCCACAACAGAATCAGCGAGCAAAATCAGCAGCCGCATCTTTGAGAAGAAAAACAAATGTGATGAAAATGCGATGTGAAAATGTGAGAAGCTGACAAACAATTTGGCAGCGTGGACAGCCAAAAGGGGGAGGGGTTTTTCCACCCTCCACTCCCCTGACCTTTAAGCTGAATGAAGGAAAACTGGTGGACTATCAAAATAAACCATCAAACAAAAGAGATGTCATTATCAAAGCTCCCTTAAAATTTCTAAAAATCGAACCAAAAGAGATGTATTTCTCCAGAGCGAGAAAATAAGGGAGAGAATAACCACACACACATTTATAGACTAATACAAACTAATACAAATACCACAATAGAATACAAATACAAATACAGAGGAAATGGGAATGGACCACACGGCGTATGCGCAATTCGCTTTGGCATCGTGCCAACGCTCTATACTTGGAGATCAACGGAAAAAGTTGCTGATTTTTTGCCAGAAATTATTTATAACTGCTTGTTCATGCACAATCACAAATATATATGCATATACACAACTATACTATATATATGAACCAGTATCTGTGTCTTATTTTCGAAACGAATCGCTCTTTTACTCATTTTCAGCTCAGCTGTGTTAACTTAGCCAGCAGAAATGTGTATAAGCCAATTCAAATTATTTCCATCTGATCGTGGAATCGAGTTGGAGATATTCTATTTTCTTATGGAGCGAGTGCATGAATGGAAAGAAGCATTTCTTGTTTAGATGAATGAATACCAAACTTACCCAGAAATACTATAGTTTTTGGGCGTGGATGTTCTCAAAATAAGGAGATTGCTTACCTGCAAAGAGAATGCAAATAAAAGAGGCACAATTAGTTGATTATTTATGATATAGATAAATATATTTCATGGATGAACGACTGCACTAATAAACAAATAATTAAACTGATATATAGCTATTAAAGTATTTTTAGCCGTCAATAAAATTTCTGATCAAATCGATTTGGCCATTAAAGGAAAATATGTAAATAGCAAATTAATAATATAGGGGAGTGTAGGGTAATTTGACGAGTAGGGTAATGTGACGAACTCGTCGAATCTCATATATGACGTCACGACAAAAATTCCAAATAAATGTAGTCGTCTCCCCTCATCGTGTCGACAATGTATTTACAGTAATATTAATAAGAAGTTCCGTAATTTGTTCGTGAGGTAATTTTCGCTAAAAATGTGGTGCGCAAACTAGCAAACCCATTCAATTTACTTGTGTTTCAGCAGTGCCAGAGCAAAGATGAGTGGAAAATAAAATCAGGCAAATATATGCACGTATACATGAGATCTTTATCAACAGTTTTTGGTACCTCGCGTTTTTTTCTTTTGCGCCGTTTGAGAGTGACACCGTTTTTGCCCCAAGTCTACCTTGTAGGGTATCGTGACGAACTTTTTGTAGGGTATTGTGACGAACTTTTTTTATTCAAGAATTTTAACTGTTATCGTTGATTATTTGTAAAAAAAATATAATAATACCAGATAACATTTACTGCTGCAGTTTTATTGTTGTTTTTAA